TGGACACAATGGGGCGGACATAATGGGCCTGAAAAAGTTTGCGGACATAATGGGCCCTGCGGACATAATGGTCCGGAACAGACGCACGATCGTAGAGATAAAAAGTTCCTGTTTTTTTTAAGACCATCTCAAGTCGGGTGGAAAGATTTCGCAGATTGTTTGACGCCGTTCTTTACTTACTTTACATATATAAAGATAATTCGGCCGTTCCGTTCCTGAGATTTGACAAAATAGAATCTAGGAAGTACATGGATAACTCAAAGTCCCTACGCCGTACACGGAGTGCTTTTAGCAAAACTTACAAAATCGTACACAGGCCTATTCATTTCGGTTCACGAGTCGCATGAATTCACAATCACTTATCAACTTATCACTTAAGTTACAACCCGATAACATGAACATGGTATGACGAAGTTGTTGGCGACTTACCTTGCGATGTTACAAATTGGTCAGGGTAGCAGCAACGCCTTGTTTGCGCGTAACTTGTAGCCACTACAACCAGTAGCACACACAGCACCGGCCGCACGTCCATGATTCCTGTCAGCAAAACACCTGAACGAGAAGGAAACTCCGACGGAAAGACACTCAAATGTTTCTCGTTATGGTGCAATAGTAAGTAGCTGCTGCTTTGGGTCTCAGTCGAGAAGCTACTTATATACGCCTGGTCAATATCTGACGATAGCCTAATAACACGTATGCATGATGGCATGCTATTATCGGAGATTAAAGGAATCGCACTTTGACTCGGCAAACACATACATGTACAATAATGTTGTTCCCCCGTCGTACTCCAGCCTATCGCCCTTTGCCCGATGTGGAGGGATGTTCTTGGCTCTGCCTTGAAAATAAACTCTGCCGAGTTTATCATGGGAAATTCCTGCAGCCACAGCTATACTTTAGTGCATAATTTTAATCTGCAGCAATGTAATTCCGACACGGCTACGGTCGTAATCGCTGAGTTGTAACTACGAAAAGTTGAAGCTAATTGGATCAAGGAAAGATCCACAGAGTTACATTTCGCTCATGTGCCCCATCTCTACTTTTCACATTGACTCCACTCCCTCAAACCTGTAAGAAGGAAAAACGTACTCCAATACCAATGCAAAAACAGCGAAAGTTTCTTTCCTATGCTGCGGGGCCCCAACTCCCGCATCCCCACTAGTATCCCGCCCAGAATGTAAATCTGTCGATCAATTTCAGTCTAACTTGAGAGAATCTTCAAAATATCTTTATTTGAATCCATTTCATCTTGATTTCCTCACAGTGCCCAAATTGCAACTTTATTAGTACCATTCATGGAGCTATTAAAACACAGGGGTATAGATATTACCCGCACAAAATACAACGCCACAACTGTCGGTGAAGATGACTCATAATATGACATTTTCTGATTACATAACAGCGATGACGCGCGGCTGCCATATGAAGCAAGATATGGGACGGAGAGCACCCTCCACCTTTGGGTGCACTGAACCAATTCAAGCTCCATTGAAAATAGTGTAAAATCAACCAAGTTTGGAGCCCCATGGTAGGCAACTGAAGTCCCTGAGGCCTCTCAAACAAAAAACAATGTGTTGTTTGTTCCTTCAGGTTTCATTTGATTTTAAATTTTTAGTAGGTTAACCAGTGAATTTTTTAATCATCCGCCCAAAACAAACTCACCCCCCAAAAAGTGAATGTTGCCAAGCCCTCCCAGCGGCCATTTCTCAAATGACATCCTTCACCTTCCTCGGGCTCTTCTGACTAATTTTCAATCCCATTTTTGTCTGCTTTGCCCCCAGATGGGTGCCCCTGAATCTACAGAGATGATCCTGGGCCATACTGACACAATCCCACCATTTCTTGGCCCAAACAGACCCCTCTTTTTGAAACAATCTCGGGGGGGGGGGTATTTTTTGTGCGCCTCGGGCTGGCGGAGGATTTTCCTTGAATTGGGACACTGCACCCCTTTGTGCTGGTCATTGTTTGATCAGAATCAGGATTCTTTGGGGGATGTGTTAGGTAACGATACTCTAAGGTGTGTATAGAGATTGGTCACATGGGGTTGTGCAACCCTCCGTCCCACGTCTTAATTAATTGCTGAGTACAACGGCTGCCGGCATTCTTTGCTGCGGCCTGGCACAATCAGCAGGTGGAGCTAGCTGTGCATGATGTCGATATTTTGGCCAATCCGGTTCGCAAGTGTGACGTCACTTCAGCTTAACCTACGCCCACTGCACATGCACTGCACATAAAGTTACATACATTGATCGCCGTATACATGGAACCATGCATGGAACAGGAAGTCAACGCGCAACTTCAGCAATCGGCTAATGGGGCGTGGGAGAAGTGTGTCAGTCACAGAGTTGGGAAACTATGGTGTTAGTCCGATGTTACGAACGAGTCCTCGACTGATTCCTGGATTTCTGGTCGTACTAGGCTATGACATTCTCGTAAAAACACGACCATTTTCTTTACTTTACAGGTCTTAAAACCAACAACTTATGTGTGAAGGTTACAATCAATACAATTCATGTGGATACTTTTAATAAGCAAATTTCTTTCACAAAGTGCAAAATCTAAGTCTGAAGACTGAAAGAGAAACTGGTATTGAAGCAGTGCGAAAACCAAAGATAAACACTGTTTCAAAAAGGACATTGACAACTTGTTTATTTTGCTGCAGTTGGAGGCTGTTTCACTTTTTATTCACTTTAATCATAGCGAGTAGGCCTCCTTTAGAAAATTTAAAGCTAGTTTCAGTGCATTTCACTTCCTTCTACGGCGAATAGCATCTTTGATAAGAGTAACAACTACATGTGTTACTATGTACTGGCCAAAATGTCTGTTTATGATTGATTTCCGGCGTGCTGAATTAAAATACCATACTTTCCACTGAGATGTACTGTGCATCGCGGAGGTGAAGACACATCGGTATAAGAGCAAAGCCTGTTATCAAATGCCCACTTTAATCTTTGAAAGTAGTCTTTTGTTAGCTTAAACCCTGAATTCGTTTACACTGTTGACAAAACACTGTTTTCACTGTTTCAACTTAAATCCATGTATAATCAGCTATCAATAGCACCCCTTTTAAAACTCTCCCATCCAAACAGCATTTACAGATTTCACAAGCAGCAATCATTTGTATGCTGTAGCCTTCAAGAAAAAAATGACCAAAAAATGCAGTGTGTTAACGAGCTGACGCTTGGCCCATCCCCACCATGGAAAACAACTTGTGTACTAACTCAACCTAAATTCCTGAAAAACTAAAGTGTAAAATAAAACAAGCATTTCCAAATGTCCTTTACAATTTCTTCAAGGTTTTTAGCAACCTTGAGAACTACCTTTGTCACCGTCTATCTCAAAATATTAAGCAACAGGGAAACTTTTGTCAATATACATGCAAAACTATGAAGCATACATTTTGTAATGTAACTATGCCACAAATAGATTAAGAATATCAGCTACACACTGAAGCAAAGTTTCGTATAGCACACATCAGTAAATTAGCAACACAGAATCTATACACCAGTAACTATTCAGCACATCAACCCAGGAAACCTGTTCCAAGCAGAATAGAATTTTAAGTTTGTAAGAACTAATGTACTTAAACAAAGCAAAAATTAATTAGTGCTAATCTCATATCTCCTGGAGTCACTCTAGACTGACTTTGTTTGCATTTTGTTTAATACAGCTTCCAGCCTTGAAAATTTTCATCACGTGCTGATAAAGAGATCAGCAGGACAAAGTATGACCTCGCTTATCTGGTCCAATATGTGGGCCTCAGCGATGTTGTCTTGTCTCATGACTGGCTTAACATTCCATATCTCCCCCCCCCCGCCTAAATTTTCTCAAGCTTTATAATGGTTGTGAGAATAAACACTTTTCTCGCCTCAGAGAGTAAACAGAGGAGCTTTACGATGTCCAATTTCCATTTATTTAGTGCTACCTTTTGTCAGAAATTAGCTTGATACAGGTACTTCTAAAATTACAATTTCTCAAAATCTTCCCAAAGATTTGTAAACAAAAATGGTCAGTTCTTTAGTCCGAGGATTGGTTGCATACAAGACAGCACACATGCTAGAAATCAAATAACAAAGTTGATAACCACTGATTATGATTTTAAAAGTTGAATAATTCTAGGCCACATCTTCAGGACAACCCAGGAGAAGATAAGGGAAACACAAGATAAAGGATAAAAACCTAAAATTCCACTACACTGATGACAGTGGCGTACATGTAGCTAGGATGTTACTATGGCGGGGGCACAGAGAGGGTACCAGCATCTTATGGGGGCACCAGCTTTAAGTGGTGTGGGTTTTTTGGGGGACAAGTTTTTGTTTTTGTTCAATATCTATTCATCCTCTTTTTTTTATAGTGGGGCATGAGCCAAACAGATAAACATATAAAGTTGTAGTTAATCTATGTGAATCAACCTACATTTACATGATAAGAAAGTTGTGTGAAATGTCATTAAGCATTGAGTACGGTACATGTAGCAAGTACAAGCACACATCACGTATCGTCTAATATTGCAATAACTGAATGCCCACATTTATAAAGCACCTTAACGATAGTAATGCAGGTAAACTATTTCAAGAAGCCAAACAGTTCAGAAATAAATTTCAATAAAGTTATATATAAATTTGCAAGTACATTTTGGGAGTCAGTGTTTTACACAATGTATGCACATTATTTCACTGTATTTCATTTATGCGGTAGCTTTAAAATAAGTTAATTGCATGCCAGTAAAGAGATGAACAGGGTTTGTGTATCAAATTCTATTCCAACACACAAACACTGAACTCCATTTTACAATTCCATGTTGGAAATAATATTTTCCGTCCCCCTGGTTACTGGCATAACTCTGTGCATCCTGTTTTCCTCTGGGCCCAATATTTCTTTCAAGTTTAAACAGCTAAGAGGTTGTTGATGCTTTTGTTTATCAAAGGAATTGGATCTAAGTGGAGGAAAGAGATTACACAGCCCCCCTGACTGGGGTCCAAAGCAGAGTTATAACATGAAACTATTGCACTGTTCAGTTATCCTTTTCTTTACATTTACAAGGCAATTGATGCAGGTACGTGTCCAAATTTGCAATAGAAATTACATTTTTATCTAAGATTTCTAGCAAAAAGGTCCCTAAATTTTGCTAGTTTCATAGTTTCCTTAAAACTGTCTTCAGCCCCCATTAAAACTAAAAAAAGTATGCATAATTTTTTGTCCCAGCACCACAAAAAAGAAAACCCACCAACTTATTTATCAGTAAATTTGAGATTCATGCAGTTACAAAAATTATAATAATCTATGAAATTACCTAAACTATTTAGGTACATACGTTGAATGTGACTTAACTTGAACAAGCATTTCTCTATGGCACACATCAACAGCATCAGCAAACACAAAATTTCAGATTCCATATGCAAACACTAGCTCCTGTCTCCATTATTACTGGCCTAGCTTTTATCAGCTAACTGTCTTCAATAACTACACTGTCTTACGTATTTATGAATAATGGATCGTAATTTGTTGTTGAAAGCTAATTAATGGCAATAAACTCAATCAGGTCTGTGACTAGGCTTTGACTCATCACAAAAACAATTTCATCACACAGTACTTGGAAAAATGATTGAAACACAATTTCAAACAAGTGAACCTTAAAACTCAATGCAAAACGCCCTCTCCTCAGTAAGCAAATCTTCTACATCTTGGGATGTTTTGAGGGGATGTTTCCAGGGGATATTTGAGAATCATGCAATTACCTCACGTCTGTCTGGGTTGCGATCTTCGTTCAAAACATCCTTCAAGCGCTGCCAGAACACAGGCCTCTCATTGACATTGGCTGGCCATTTTAGGTAAGTCTTCTTCTTAATTGCGCGATGGATGAGATCGTATTTGGACAACTTCTTGTCAGGGATGTCGCCCAAGATGATCAGAATCAGGACATCTTCATAGTCAATGAACAGCTTGCTCATTGTCATGCGCCTCTCATATCTGCACCAATTGCTCTCCAAGTAGCCCTCAGATATGATACAAATGGTGCGGCGACTGCGGTCAACTGACTCAATGATGTTGTCGACAATCTCCTTCCCCGGCTCAAAGTCTCGTCGGTGATGGCAGAGTTTGAATGGATCGGGTCCGGTTTCAAGCTCTGGTATTAATGTCTCCATTACCCATTCTTCATCTGCACTGCTGTTGGAGATGAAGGCATCATAGTCAAAAATCTGTTGGTAATCCTTGTGCCGTCTTGATCGATGATAGTTTGCCCTCACCACTAAGTAGACATAGTACATCTGCCATCGATAGATGACCATCCCAGAAACTAACAGAAGGAACGAGAAGCTTCCAACACCTATGCCAATCCAGTCCTTCAGTGGTAACTTGTGATCGCAGTTCAAATCCTCAGGATGGAAACTAATCAGAAGCTTATTTCTCATGTTTGGAGGTGAAGCACACAAACAGGTGGTCAAGTTACCTATTAAAATGTGAGTGGTGTCAATGAAGTTGCGAAACCATTCTTGTTCACAGCCACAGGAAAATGGATTGCCACAGATGTATAAGATCTTGAGTGTCTTCAGCACCGGTGTCAGCATGGTTTTGTTGACAACGTTGATGTGGTTCTTGTGAAGATCCAGATACTCTAGCTCCTTCAGACCGTCAAACACTCTGCCAGAGATTGTTGACAGCTGGTTGTCACCCAGATGTAGTGTTCTGAGATGTCCCAAGTCACTGAAGGCACCAACAGGGACACTTTGGAAACCATTTGAAGAAAGATCGAGCCTCTGCAGAGAGGAGAGTTTTCTCAGAAACATTCTAGGAGTCTGGTGGGAGAGAGGAGGGTGCCACAGGTTGTCAAAATGGTTATGGTCCAGGTACAATGTCTCCAGTGATTTCAGGGCAACAAAAGTATCCTGATGAAAGTGATCCATATTATTATTGCTCATATCTAAAGAAAGAAGTCCCGGCACAGCTGCAAACGGTGAAGGTGCACTCTCAACATTCCAGAGGCATGCCTTCTTCAGATTCAGGATCTTCAGTTTAGAGGGTGTCTTGAAGGAGTCTCTCTGAAGCTTAATGTGTCTACCCTTCAGTTGGCTCTCACTCAAGTCCAGCTCAGTAAGGTTTTTCAGATCCTGGAATTCATCACCAGTTAGGGTCTGTGAAATCCTGTTCTTTGACGCATAGAGATACTGCAAGTTGATAAGCCCTTTGAATGAACCATCTTGAGACAGTGAAGCAATCAAATTATCATTAAGGGACAGAGTTTGAAGTCTTTCGTTGTACTTAAAAATGCCTGGTGTTATCTCTTTCAGTGAATTGCTTTCCAGATTTAAGAATTCCAGAGAGGTAAGGCCAGACAGTGCCTCAGGGCTGATAGCTGCTATTGAGTTCTTGTACAGTTTCAAAACCTTCAGGTGAACAAGATGAGTACCAAAGCTAGTGTCACGCAACTCAGCTATTTCATTTTGGGAAAGGTCCAATTCCTCAAGTTTGGAGTTTTCAAGACCAGCAAACATTGATGAGGTCAAGTTCGTCAGACTTAAGGAACATAAGGCCAGCTTCTGAACTTCAGAGGAAGCCACAGCTGCACTTACGTTTGCCAAGAGAGAAGATTGCGGAGGTGTTTTAGCAAAAGAGTTGGTCAAATCCAAAAGTCCTACTTCAAGAAAATGAGAGAAAGTGGCTGTATCAATGCTTGAGAAGGAATTCCGAGACAGATCAAGCACTTGCAGTTTTGAGCCAGTCATTGCTTGGAAGTAATTTCTGCCAAGGCCTGTGAAGCCATTTGCAGCCAAGTTGAGCACCTTGAGTGACGTGAGATTCAAGTGCCTACCAAAATCTGCTGTCTTTATCATAGTCTTCTTAAGCAGCAATGTTGTAAGAGTCCTATCAATTGGGACCAGAAACTCTGGAAAGCCACTCCTTATGTGGTTGTTCTGCCATGACAAGTCCAGTGTCTCTAGTTTAGTGAGGGATGCGAATGCATCCCCTGGTATTTTGTTGATCTCATTGCGGGAGAGATAGAGATGTCTTAACTGCTTCTGGTCGGCAAAGTAGGCTCGTTCAATTTTGTAGAGTGTATTGTAGGACAGGTTTAAGAGCCTAAGGTTGACAAGTCCTGCCAGAGATGTGCTGTTGAAGATGTGGATCCGGTTGTGAGATAGCAGCAGGGTTTGGGCTGTTTGCGGAATCCCAGCTGGGACAGTCAAGAGACCCCGGTTCCGGCAGTCAACGAAGGTGGAATTGACGATCTTGCAAGGAAATTTTGCCAAATGCTGTTGATGAGAGTTCTGGCCCACCGACAGAAAACTGAAGAAAGAAGCTGCTTGATGGACAAAAACGAGGAGAACAAGAAGTGTGGGCACGCACTTCATGGTGAGGGTGGTAATGTGCCACACAATGGCCGTCTGAGCGAGGAAACCAGATTATGTCTTTACTTCACTGAGAAGTGAAATGCTGCAAAAGGAGAAGATAACGTGCTCACTTAATCAAGTCTGGAAAGTTATAAACATTTCCAAATCAGTGGTAATTCAAGCCCCCTTCCAGAATACATTTTCATAAAATTAAGTGCCAGGATCAAAGTACACGATCATAATAGATCTTATACTGTAAAGTGCAAACTATGAGGTGAAATTCTGGCCCACTTTAGTTTTTCCTTTCAGGGATATACTGAGACACACAGAATCCTCAAAATGATAAAACGGCAAAATAGCGTCCTCCTTTCATCATTATCCAGTTCGTAAGTGTGACGTCACTCCATGCCCACTGCACTTGCACTGCACATAGAGTTACATGCATTGATCGCCGTTTACATGGAACCATGGAACCGGGAGTTAACATGCAACTTCAGCAATTGTCCAATGGGAGCCTGCAAATTGTGGCGAAGTCACTTACGAACAGGATACATTATAATTTCTAGCTACAGAGAAGCTGGTTTTCCCCAATTTCAGGCCTTTTTCCCACCGTCAACAGTATGAGTATTGCCATGAATGGCACAGATTATTAATGGTATGACACATTCAACAATTTTAAAATGAACGACATGTATTTGTTCAAGTGAATTAGCTTTTTCTCTCCCTAGTGAACAGCACTGAATCAATTCCCAATGAAATGAGGGGGTGAATGAGCGGAGTCATGACTGCCTACATGTATATCTGGCACACCGATGACCGTGCCCAACTGCCCGTCCTTCATCCTGATCAGAGTTGAACAACTAAAGTCTCGAATGTCAGCATGTTTAACAGACATGAACAACCTGTAAATCTTACCTACCCAAAAATTAACAGTTTTGAACGCCTTTGTATTGAAGTGAAGACAGATGATAATATTTAGACATTTAAAAACCACAAGCACAAATTTAACACACAAGTCCCGCAGTAGGCAGTTAAGACCGTCATGGCATCTTTTCTGGTAAAGTAGGGCATGAAGCTCCTCAATCATTTACTGTCAGTTTTGTACCATTGTCTTTTTTGGCTCATTTTTCTTTGATGGTCTTTTTTGAAGGGTGTTAAATTACATTTGTTGAAAACTATACTGAATGGTCTTTGCTGTTGACCGATGTGTTAGTTTCAAGTAATTTTGAACTAAAATGTTGACTTCAAACATTAAATGAGTCTAAATCCCTTTGATTTGAACTGGTAGCCAACCAAATTGTCAAAAAATGTGCGCAGTCTGCCTAATTATCCCCAAGTGATCAATCTTACAAATCTAAAATGGAAATATGTGTACATGACCAAAGTCACTCTTTTAAAAGTTTTGAACAGGGACATTTTGGAGTTACATTTTGGTTTATCTTTTAAGATTATGAAAGTCTATTTTGCACTTAATGATATCATGCTGTTTGTTTTTACAGTAAGTCAGTGTATTAAAGTGAGAGGAGACGGCGCTGTATTTGTGATTAATCGTAGTGTTTACTGGGTCCTGAGTAGGTGACAGAACAGGCCTGAGATGAGACATAGGATACAGAGTCTGTAAAGAGTGCATCCTAGAAGGTACTGAGGTTCAAACAGATGCTGGAAATACATGTAGAGCGTTAACTCATATCACTCCAGTCCGGTTCCTTGCAATTGGTGTTCTTTAGCTGTTGACATATGATGTGTTACATCTCTGGATTATATTTGTGGTTGACACTAGTGGTTTACAATTGTGGTTAATAATTGTGGTCTACATCTTTCAGCTTTATTACCAATGAAATTGGTTGCTGATGTGAATAACATCCCTGAAGTTTGGTAGAAGTGATAATAGAGTTTTAAGAGTGACTAAAATAATATAAAATTGACTGATTGTTCCTAATTTCTGCATGAATTCAAGAGATTGACAATCAACCAGTAAACTACTGTAATATATACACCGGTATACATGTATCATTATCATTGACAAATATCTCCCCCATGAAAAACGAATCCATACTTTTGGGGCCCAAGCTCGCTCTGACGATCCCCACAGTTCTGACAATTATTCCACGGAATCAGGGTGAGATTCACTCAACAGGCTCAAATCAAAATTTTACATACTAGGATGCCTGCTGTATATCATGGCATATAGCCTAAGACTAAACAGTACATTTTTAAATGTGACTGAATCAAAATACCACAACGCTGCGGTTGCTCAAGCTGGGAAACCAAAGACACTTACCACCTCAACTGTAGTTATGCCACTTTTATGAGCTGAAAAAAAGTGCACCTTGTTCAAACTGATCAACAAGGGAAACTGAAAATTGTGAAATTCGATCAAGCTTTCGGCCAGGGTGGGAAAAAAGCAAACGGCGAAGGCGCGCTGCGTGTTGTTTATGTATACGATGAATATTTCACTTGCAAAGGGGTAGGCTCGTAATAGAAACGAACTACATTGTGCAGCACGCATTTATTCATCAATCATCATTAATTGAAATCAGTGACAAAATTAAAGGAAAAGATTCATATTATCCGGATTAGTATTCATTTATTGCAATTTGTCTCGTAGCTGTTTCGTTTTGATCACGTAACATACCTCCATATCATAAGCCATCACCACACGAACTCTGCCTACCCCTCTAAGTAGTGGTACGACCAGCTGGAAAACCCAGAATGCAGCGTTGGGATTTCCCCGAATGAGAAACCTGTAGCCTTTTATTTTTGCTGGTTACTGGTGGGTAGGGAAAGAAATTGAGGGGATGCAGGGACGGTTTCCTGGCCCAGGGTTGGAAAAAGTGGCAGGGTCATCGTGGTATTTGTATAGAGTTTGGGTGGTCCGTGGAGTCAGTATGTTACATCTTGTGAACGTAATTTGTGGGCATTATTGAAATTGGTCTTGGCTAACATTCTGAACACAATGAAAAAGAGATCATGACTTTTGAGAGCCAAGAAAGTTACAAAGTCAGTCCTCCCATACACTATGTACAAAGGATTGGTTGGTTGGTTGATAAAATGGCATAACACCAGATAGTGAAGAAAATGACTACTACTGAAATGAAAGCTAAACCAAACAAACAAAACGAAATAAATCGAAAGCCTGTGCACTACTCAGTAGTTCACCTAGAACAATGAAACTGCCTTAACCCCCCCCCCCAGCAGGAATGGGGAGAATGCATCCTTGGAGGGCCTGGTCAAGTGCACAGCGCAAAGCCAGTAATCATGATATAATGCACTGGGGTATTCTGGTTCCAGAAATATGAAACTTCTTCCTTTGTATATTTTGTGACATCCAGTACCTGTCCACGTCCCCTCCCATCCACAATGCACGGCACTAACCTTCAGCAAAGTGCCACCGTGAATGGCTTATAAGTTTCTCAAAATACAAGTTAGGTTCTTACCCTTATCTGTGGAACAAAACGCCATCCCCAACTCAGCAGGTCCATCATGCCTGCGGCCGAGGAAGAATTTAGTGACATTTTAAATCTGCTTTTTACATAGTAGACCTCCTTTAAAAAATTCATGGCTAATCCAGGTGCCCCTTTCCATTGACATCCCCCATTTGTTTACTCAGGTCCTAGCTTCCCCATGACATTTTCGCCACATAAGGAAGTCATGTTAGCAGTTCAGTAGCAGAGAGGATAGGTTTCTTCCACCTTACCTTTGTAATATCTGCTGTGCAGTTTAAGGTTGGAGTACACTCTGAAGTTGGTTGGTTTTGGAGTCTATTGTCAGTTTTCATCCTCGTCCAGGTTATTTCTAGTTTCCATTTCTAGTCCCTTGGGTTTATTTTGGTTTTCTTATAGATATTTTAGTTTAGCCTCTTTAGCTCGTTTTGGATGTTTACTTGGTTACATCTTGTAAGTAAAAGTCCTCTTTTAGTTTTTTTTTTCTTTGAAATAAAGATTTTGAGTCCTTATTCAGTTTCTTGTGACTTAACCTTCCAAGACCTCTGGTTTGGTGTAGAGATTTTATTCGGTTGTAGTTTTCCCCCACAACATGTCAATTTTCCAGTTACAACGTCCCAAACCTAGACAAGTTTTAGAGTCTTTTGTTCTAAAGTTAACATCAAACTCTATCAGTGTAGCAGATATAATGAAAAGAAATTCATATAAGAAACATCAGCTTTCATGGTGAATTTCGATTCATTTATTTCATCCTGTTACTGACTTCAAATAAGCACGAAGGGTCTCTAAAAATTGAGAAAACAGTCTTAAAACACAAAGAGCAGAATGTTCAGAGAAATTGAAGCACACACAACAAAGTATTCTGGATAGTTCTTCCACTTTAGCTGTAAAAATGAACAACATGGCAGTTAGGAACGTGAACAAAGAAGAACGATTGAAAACAGAGCTTAAATTAATTGTGTAATTCCCCTCTATACAGTCAAAAATGCTAAAAACCCTTTTCAAAATTTCCTGGACTTGCTCTTCTTTGCAAAAATCCTTTACAAACAATCAAAAATTTGCTCTTTCCCCAACAGATAAGATGGACTTCCATTACATGTACTTCCACAAACAAACTAAAGGGTATTGCTAGCGATTTACAATGGTAAAAATTCTTGATAAGCCGATAAACTTTTCTTGGAAAGGACTGATATATATGTTTTGGACATGGCCAAAGGTCATCTGTCGATCTAGCATGGGAAAAAAAAGCAACCAAAGCAAGGGACCCCAAAGGAGCCACATTTAAAGAAAATCTACGACAGAATAGACTGATCCAGCAACACCTGCCCACTTCACCTAGATGAGTAATGAACGCTTGGTGCTCTCTTATGTCACAACGCATGTTCAGCCGCATGCATACAGACGTTTGTGTGGACATGTGACTGGTCAGAAAATCAACTGCTACGGATATGGTGTAATGATACCGACGTAGCTGTGATATCTAATACATGCAAAGTTGTAAACAACACACCCAAAGATCAAGCTGAAACAAGGAAAACATTTCTAGGTCTAGTAAACGAAAAACGGCATTCTACAATGGACAATTTTCGAAGACAGTTTCCAGTTTAACCACTACCGAAAACTACTAACATACTTCGAGGACACCTACGATTAACAGCACTCCACAGGGCACTGGGATTTACAGATTGTCATCCGGAACGGTGGTTAAACTCTGCAACTTCAGAAATACAATTTTGGCATAGGGTTAAAGACGCATTTAATACAGCACTACACTCCTCGCTAGATAGGCTGGCTAATATTGTCGTAACATTAAAAACCCTCACCAGCCCAACTTGGCCAGTGGTCTAACACCTTGCTTTTGCAATCAGAATAAAAAAAAGGATTCAACTATTACTTGTACTTTGGTGGGGTGGGGTGGAGGGCTTTGTTCTACGAATTGGTTCCAAAATTTTGTACTAAAAATATGACGTGGGCGGTTGGACAGTGTTTAGTGGACTTGATTGCTCATGATACAAAACAAAGCCAGGGCTTAGGCCTGATGTACTTCTTTGTACAATGAGAACAACAATGTGCTGTCTATATGACTGAGTAGTCTGCATGTGTGATCAAAAATCTCTAAGTTGGCCGTAATGGAGACAATGTTTCATGGGCACTGCATAAGCCATCAACCATGTCCTCACAAAACTTTGATTGCTGAAATTAATTGAAACCAGGATGACAGGATTTTACTTTGTTGTAGACACAGGCTTCGACCAAGAAAAGGCTTGTAGTAAGTTGCAATAGAAGTGCTGCATATTGTCTTTTGTTAAGTGCTCTAAACTACAGATAATTATTCATTATGTGCCATTTTAGGATTTAATTTCATCAGTTTTTACTATGAAAGTTTGGATTGTATGATTGGGTGAAATTATGACGATGTGAGGACAGGGGGATATGATATGTTGTCTCCTGTCTAGAAATCACGACGGTGGTAGGCGCCAGGGTCAAAGAACGAGGTAACGACGACCCGGTTGGCGAACTTGCGGCCCGAGAGCCCCTGCTGGGCTGCCTGAGATTCCATGGTGTTGCTGAACTCCACAAAGATCTGTAGGTTGTCAAACAAAAGGGAAACCAGCAACAGACCATGTTTAGAGGGAGAACAGGGGCTCGTTATGTGAACAAGAGGAAAACTGGAGCGGTGAGATGATGGTTTTTTTTTTTCAGATATTACCTTGCCACAGCCGGGGACGTCAATCCCTTCCACAGGTCTGGGTATTTCAATGCTGCGTACATTACCATATTTGCTGCATTCATCACGTACATCATCCACAATATCTACAGGGAGAAACCAGTAACCCACATCTCAATTCAATTCCACAGTGACATTTAAAGGACAGTGGTAGCAGGTCAGGGTCTGACCTTTGAACTTTGATAACCCTCCTTCCCTTTTGTTATGCTTTACGTCTTCGGTTGTCACTATGTTCAAAAGATAAAGAATCCCGGTCTGAAGACTTTTCATATGCGCAGTCCAAGGCCTATCTCTGACCTTTGAATGACCTACCTTCGTACTCATCGTCATCCTTAAGATCATCAGTTGTCACCATGTTCATGAGGCACAAAATCTCTGTCTGTGGACCCGCGGTGCCCGGGAGATTCAACCCTGGGATGTTGAGCTGAACTGCTTGGGCAGCCTATGCGGGGAAAAAAAACTTAATGATACACGTTAACGCTCAAAACAATTTCTTTTCAATTTCAATTTGCTGTAATAGGGTCCCAAACCAAGCAAGTCCCATTGAAAGGTTTGCTGTGGTAACCACGGTTTATGTGGCTCAAACTTGCCAGCCATTCCAGCCAACCAGGGTAAGCCTCATGATTGAGTGGAAGGACATCTGCACTGGTAAGCAGGACGTTGAGGGTTCGATTCCCACTTGAGTGAGCTTGTGATTTCTTTTCACTAGACATCAGACAGCACTGATGCTGTAACTTCACTGACAATTCGGCCTTATGTCGCTAAAGGTGGACATTTTAATAAACCATTATTGATTGATTGATTGATTGACTGATTGATACATCTCTTATACTGGCAAGAAAGAAACTCAGTGATGGTTTTGACGATCAGGTGTGTATTCAGGTGTAGTGGACAGTTCTGGTCTTACCATAGCTTGAGCACTGGGATTCTTGGCTCCAACACTGGCCCTCTGGACGATCAATTTCTTCTCCCCAAGCTGCATGCCGTTCAGCCCCTCAATGGCCTGTTCATGAAAAAAAAAACACTCTGTACTCTAAACGGGCAATCATGGAACTTGTAAAATGTTGTGATGTTCACCGTTCACAGCTCTTTGACCTCTGATTCAGAGTTCCACTTGTTACAATCAAATGCAGCAATCAGTTGAAGTCAACTCTATGAGCCAGTTTGAAAATTGCATACACAGCGCACACTGTACGATGTGACGACAACACAACTGAGGCACTGTGATCCTTGCTTGTATTGCACATGCCTAGGTGACGATGACCGTCATGAATGAATGTCAAAATCTACGAAAACAGGACTCAAAATCTTACAGGAAACCAGGAAAAAATTTAAAACTAGTTGGTACTTTTATTCTCTCGTTAAATACCATCCATGTAAGAAACTTTCAGGTTTCAGGACTTGGTAAACAGAGATAGTTAGGAATGGATTTTAGCACCCTGGTAGCATCTAACCATTATTTTACACTGGACTGCTTGTCTAAATCCTGTTAAGGCACACTGCAGAGTGTTGGATTGGCATAAACTGGAAATGTAGGCGGGCCTTCACTGCAATTAGGGGGACAGTCTCTTGTTAGGTAATTGAGGACCAAGTTGTGGGTCTCTGTCCTTACGTTTTCAGTTCCCACTGAATCGGTGAAACGAAAACTGTTTCTCTCCAGAACTATGAAACTAGCATCTGCACTCAGCCGTGTCAAGGAGGTATCCTTTCAAACATTTAAATCCTTCTGCTGTCCATACACTGGATTACCACTATAAAACATAATTCTAAAGTAGCCATATAAAGGAAACTAATTGTCTTACTTGATCAGTGACTTCTGTTTTCACATATTCACAGAAAGCATAACCTTTGGACATAGACGTGGCACTGTCCTTCACTAGGTTGAATGCCTTCAGCATTCCAAAGGATGACAGCAACTCCTTCACCTGTTTGGAGGAAAAAGGGGAGAAAATGTGCAGACTTGGGTGAGTCCAGCGTTGGGAAGTCTGTGATTAGTCACAATGTTAGCTAAGTTCTTCCATGGGCTTGGTGAAGGGGTGTTCTTTTCTTCAACCATTTTAACGGTTCCTCACCTGTTCGAACAATCATTTGCTTCGAAAGGACATTAAGTGATTATCCAACCAAAAAATGAACTATCCAGTTAAACTTCAAAGACATTTGCCCAACCAGAGGACACAATTTTTTGGGGGTATTAAGATTGTTACTGTTCAACCCCAAACTATCAATGACCTTGGAAGAACTAGAGCAACAGGCTGGGTGGTAAAGAGTACCGAAATGCGACGTCACTGTGAACCAGAAAAAAAAAACAGTGCAAATGAATGGAGTACACGCATGTGTTGGTTCACATCACTGGTTGTTGCAATAAATGATTTGTATACACATAATTGTGACATATTCAATTCGGTACTCTATAGTGGGCTGGATGACAGGATTTCAAGACTTGATCAGATTTGCACAGGCTCTTTCACTGATTACAGAGTCACTATTTTCAAGACATAATTTCCCTTAGTGCAATCATCTCTTAAAAATGCTTGGAGTTTTCAATATCATGCCTTTAAACAACGTAAGAACGAAATTACAATGCAAGAAAAGTCAAGAATACTCATAGCAACAGCCATTTTGAATACCACAAATGGGGCTTTACGATTTCAATATTTGCGGCACTTACATCTTGCTAGAAATATGGGGTCGCACTGCGCTCATTTCTGACAGAATCAGTCCACATCTTAAACTGACATGCAATGTGTCTACATCCAGGGACACCGACAGTGGCCGTGTTCGCCGACACAGCCATACATACAAACCCTTCAGCTGCCTGAAAAAAACAACAACTGTCCAGCGTGGGCCGGCCACCAACTACAACTTGCCTTTGTCTCATGGATTCCACCATCATGCTTTTTTACCAGCAGACTAGGGGGGCTGACAGAGGGTTAGAGGCTGGCCAGCCAGAGCAATGAACGATTTGCAACGAGTGCGTGCGTGCGAAATGTAAGGCTTTTAAACTTGGCCCCGCTAGCTGGGGATTTAAAAGATGTTGGGAAAGAACGGGGGAAGAACAAAAAGAGAAACACGGTGAGTGACAATGTACTTGGAAAAGCAGTTAGAGTTCTCCTTTTATTTTTGTTCTTTTATTTCGCAAAATTACAAGTTTTTTAGCACTTTTAAAAATCATTCTTCAATCTGATAGACAAAATCCCTGTAAAACTTATTACATAAATTCAGCTGCCGACATCCACAATTTGCAGAATTCTTGATGTATGGTCAATGTTGTCATTGAGCAGTATTTTGATCAAAGCTAATCATTCCTTCAGATTTTTTTGGGAAATTTGGTGCATATTTTGCAATGACAATGATTCTTACCTTTATTCTGTGCTCTATAAAGTACAGGAATATTTCCCTTAAAGAAAAATAATCTGAAAAGGAACATCTGCGTATCTGTTTTCCGCAGATTCATTTCCTGAAAAGCAAGTTTTGGAGGGAGAAAGTACAATGTGATTTTTCACTGTCATGTTTGGATTGCTGCAAGCCTGAAAACAAAACTAGGGAGAAGGAGAAGTCGGCTTGGTCTGATTGAAGCCTTTCGGGAGGAAGTTGAAACCTGCGCTGCGAAAGAAAACGTGCGGGGAGAAAACTTCGCGAGAGATGATTCTCAACCTTTCACGCTTGCTGAGAAATGTACCTTCCTAAACACAGCCCCCAAAAATGTGCTTCATGAGTTGCAATTTTAAGGGGACAATATCCCCCAGTGTCTTAACATTAAACCTTTGATTGAATTTTAAACTATTCAATTACTTGGAAAATGACAGTAAATCTTTTTGTTTTTAATCGCAGCTTTCAAATGCGCATATCATGGCAAAAAGAACCACATTCAATTTTTCCTAAGTTTTCTGTACTGCAGATTTAAGTTTTTCTTTGGTCAAAAAGGACACAGAGATTTAAGTATTTCTTTGGTCAAAAAAGGACACAGAGATTTAAGTTTTTCTTTGGTCAAAAAGGACACAGAGATTTAAGTTTTTCTTTGGTCAAAAAAGGACACAGAGATTTAAGTTTTTCTTTGGTCAAAAAGGACAGAGTCAAAACTCTTTACAGACTAAGAAAATGGAAAAGCAAAACCAAAATCCCGCCCAAAAGAACCACCAGACAGCAATTCCATCGGAAAAACCTAAACGGGGCACTACCGAGTCTCAATCTCCACTGCTACCAAATCAGCCAGAACTTCACACCGCCACTGACAGAAAGGTAAGGGGAAAAAGCCCTAGACCAGACAAAATGTTAAACAGACGCACAACTGCTTTGCCAACAAAGAGGAAAAGACAACTAGGAAGGAAAAAGTGAAGAAAATGGAACAGATGATGGATGTTACTCCCGCTCTCTTGGCAGTCATTCCTCAATGTGTCCCTCAAACTACCTACCTGCTCAGGTAAAAAGTTGAAGAACAGAGAACATACAAAAACCAACCACACACAAACTGATGATTTTCAATAAACACCTGCTGGTGAAGTCAGGCAGATTTTTTTTCTTGGAAACTACTGGCATTCAGTCTGAAAATTTTACTTCCGATGGACTAAGTTGTGTTTTGTAATATCTCTATTTTTGATGACGTCCTGACCATACTATGGCCAGCTGCTGACCATATATTTGTCGTGAAGACCAACCATAACATATTTGTCCCTTGGTCTTAACCCTAACACTCCCAAATCCTCCAATTTTAATATGATTTTACATACACCCTAGGGGCTACGGTTAACTTACCTGGTCATCGGTCAAGTAATTGGGCAGGCCTCCGATGAAGATCTTATGGGGAGAGTCCTGAACCACAGTTGAAACCACACCTGGAGAAATATGATAAAAAACTATCACATCAATGCTCGTCTTGATCAATGGCTCCTCCTTCACTGCAATCCCTTGGTATTTTTTCTTAAAACTTCCCAAATCTTCTGCTGTGCATGAATCCAAAAGCACATTCTAGGTACTATGCCTTCCGAAGGGAATCAAGGCCCATGTGAAGTATCAATGTGGCTGGGCTCAACCTTTATCAATCCTGCAAAATCCACCAAAACCTTACAATGGATTTTGCAGATCTGGAGGGGCTGGATTGAAGTTAGCAGTTTGTACAGTCAACTCTCATTAAGACAAGGGCCTTGGAACTTCCTTAATTATCTTGTATTATCCGGAACCTTGTCTTAACCCTCCTTTGGTTTAACAGCACAAATATGTACGAGTGCCCACAGTCACTCTTTTGCATGTATTTTCTATACGGAACCCAAACATGCACAGGTTCAGTGTGTTCACAGTTGGTTGCCAGCACAAAATGACCCAGGGTCTTTTGTGCAGTCCTCTTCACTGCATTTGGTTTACTGAACAATGATGCACATGAAACAGTNCTTTTGAGCTGTTTACCAACTGACTCAAAGAGTGACTTCAGCATAGGAGGGTTAAGCAACAAGAATCTTCCCACTTGTATGTGCTGTTTGTCGATGGTACTACAGCTGAGGGGTAATGAATTTGCTTTCAAAACAGTTTGAACATTCTTTAGAAAAGTGTAAAGGACATGTAGATTTAATGAAGAGGTGTTGCAGTAAAACCTGTACCGGTATTGTGCTGTAATTGAGAAGAACAAGGCGGAAAATTAATAAAATGCAAGAATGAGGCAAGTGGACTTATCACCCGTCACTGTTGAAGTGATGTAACCACTAACCTGCACAGTGTGGAGAATGCCCAAGTAAGTACATTAACAGTTTAGTCGGTGACCGACTAAAGAGATGCAATCTTATACGTGTACAAAGTGAAGGAAACCATTGCATTTTGGGGTGGACAATAGAGGGCATAGGTTGGGCAGGGGTAGTACGTTTTAGTGGGAAATGAAGTGTTGTTTTTTTTTTAATTTTGGGATTTAGAACTTCCAAAATCACATTTCCGGGGAAGGGAAGAACAGATTTTAATGACAAATGAATTTTACGTTAGTTTACAAATTGGTTAGGGGCATTTTTCTGCTCTCATTTTATGTCTTGGTGAGGAGTTTGTAAATAGGAGTTTGTTCTGATCGGGCCGTTTGGTGGCCTGGGAATAGCAAACGCCCACTGTCCGTCGTGTTCATTCTGATCAGGCGGCATGAAAGCACCCACAAAGAAAACCCTTTGATCACTTGGGATCTACATTGCCCCAAACCTGCAGTCATGGATTAGCGAGCATTATCATCACGTCTAGTACAACAGCACCTGTATTGAACAGATTCGTTGATTAGGAGTTGTTTTCAAAATGCTCATACTAAATGGAGAGATAACAATACATCTGCACTCAACTGGACTGGAAAAAGAGCTCCTCTTAACTGAAATCTTGTATTATCCAAGCTTGTATAAAAAATTTTTTTCCTCGTAGGAATGTACACACTTAGGCTGGGACTGGCAAAATATGCTTGTCTTAACTGGAATCTATCTGAGCTTGTATTACCGCGAGTTGACTGTATTAACCTAACTCTAAAACAGACAGAGCTTAGAAAGTGGAAATTGGTTATCCCATCACCAGCCTCATTATTCATTAATTGTAAAGAAACAAATGTTTCCAAAACCTCAAAGTGGGAAAAACAGAAAGTAGTACTGCCATTTCTGCCTTCAGTTTTCCAAAAACATTTCATAATCACAAATGAAAATTAGCTAGACCCATTAGACCCATTTCTACATTTGTAAGGAACTACCAAAAACTAACTCTATTTTATTTTTCACGAGTTCACACTATGTGCTGACCTGGCACATGCAAAGAAGGTGTCTCTGCTACCCCTGGCATGGGTTGATAGTCCTTGGGTCGACGGATCTTTAGGCACTGATTCTGATACATGATACCGTCAAACGCCATAGCCTGTGTGGTCTCGTCCACGGAACGAAACTACAAACAGAATTTTTCAAAAATGAGGATATGGTTATTACTTACAACGAAGCAAAAATTACAAGTAAACTACAATTTGAAAGTGTTGGTATTTGTTGGAGTTACAAACAGGCAACGCAATGGCATTGTGATATTGATTACCACTTCACAATGCGTGCTGAGCTTTGATATGACTTTCGAATCATGATGCAGTTTGTGCGTCATTGGTTAGGGACCATGGAAACCTTGGTCTGGTGCACTTAAAGAGGCTAAGTCTGTCTTTGTCAATCTGACGGGGGTTCACTAATGGAGGCCTTGGTGAGTTCGCACTCACCAAGGCCAATTCTAGTGAGACGTCACGTCTAAGCCATCAGATTTTCTCAGGCCACATACGCAAGTTATTGACAGGTTTTGTCTCGCAGAACAGAATTTCATTTTGGATAATGGTTCCAGATGAAAAGATTTAGATTATCCTGTGGTTAGGATAGAAAATAAAATTCTCCATAGAAGTATAAAAACGTATATTGGAATCTCAATTTTTAGGCCTGTAATCAAAATTCTACAACTATTCTGTGGCCAAAAGGATGCACTAATAGAATGTGCCTGCCTCAGGTTAAAAAAAAAAAACATTGGTGTGAGTGTGATGCCAACGCAGCAATAGCATAAATAAGGTCGTACAACGTAAGGGCTGGGGCAAATTATAAAATCAGTCCTGGTAAAGGATCTGTCCTTCGTGTCTCATTATGCACGGTGTCAATGTCTGACATGACAGAGGCACCGATTTGACAGCCCGCTGCTGTTAATAAACAAGGTTTCTACAGAGAAATGCCTGTAGTCCGAATTATGCTATGTGACATGGGTGCCGTGAAAATAAATTAGGCTCAAGAAAACATGCATCGCTCCCCTGCATAAAGCTCAATTCCAGTAAAGTCACCTTTTCGAAACTGACCTTTCTCAACAGGAGACAGACTGAAAAATGGGGAAAAAAATAAAGGGAAAAAAAGGACCCTCTGGGATGCAAGCCAGCTCAGCCAAACTTCCCTCTTTTGTGCCCCAAACCCCACATAATGCTGCTGACGCTGTTACACAGGTGCCTATAACGATGTATTACCAGGAAGCTGCATACAGATAATATCTAACCTAGTTTATTAACAGCAGAGGGTAGTCAGATCAGGTGACAAAGGCTCAATCTGAAGCATGCAGCCACGACTGGGAATAACAACACTGCCTCTGTGGAAGCCACGGGACAGTGGCTCCGACTTGTTTCCATGGTTGCATAATTGTGTTCTTGCTAGCCATAGCCAGTGAAGTGGCCACATTTACCTCAAGGAATGCAAAGTTCTTGTCGTGGTTGACCTGCACTGCCAGGACGGGCTTCCCAGGGTTCGTGGTCAGATGCAGTTCTTGCATCTTGTTATTGAAGAAGTCCACCATTTGGTCCTGCAAGTCACACACAACATATGAAGAGAATAAATGAATACAGGACTTACTTTGAAACCTCTTTGTAACTTCACTTTTATCAGGAACAACACTGACTGGATGTTCTCACAATTTCCTAAACAAAGCCATTTTTGTGAACACCTCCAAAAAACATCCAATAAAAATATCACATGACATCTCTAAACTTTAGTTTGAAGAAAGCTTTACACTAAACCAGAATTGCATTTGGAAATCCTTCAAATTTTCATGTGCTGTCAATTTCAACCATTTAGCGTTAAGAAATACATACTTCACGATATTAAAGCAAGAATTCTGTACTGATGAATACTAGGAAATATTCTGTGCTGATGAATACTAGGAAGTATTCTGTACTGATGAATATCAGGAAGTATTCTATACTGACGAATCCTAGGAAGTATTCTGTATTTATTTCTGTACTTATAGAAAGGAATAAAATGTTTTGCGCTGAGTTCACTCCCGGTATGTCGTAGCTTTAGGTGAGGTGGGGGTCCCCCAAGAAATGCAAGTCCAAAAGCCCAGCTTTCTCAATCTTTAACTTCTTGCTGCCGGGTGAAATTTGCATAACCAGGACGAGTTCCCGGGCGATTTTCAAGACTTTCCGTTATCAAAATTCTTCTAAAATTCATGACTTCATTTACTGGACATTTACACCCACATGAATGACTGTCTGGTGGCTACTCTAGTCTGATAGGCAACCTCCACTCATGCCCGACTATTTCAGCCAGGCCTGCCGCCCAGTACAGAGATCCCGGATTGTGGGGTGTTGCATAACTTCCTTTGTTCCTGAAATTGGCCCAGTGGTTGCTGAATGGAAGTGGTGTCTTTTCAAATGCGGCCAGATCAGTGTGCAGCAGTATTATATTGCTCATTGCTGGAGTGCTGAAGTACTTTTGTCCCAGCTGTTAATTCGCAGGTGCTGAATGCTGCAAACAGTGATATACTGCTTCAAAACAATGAAGGATTACCTCTGCTAATGCCAACTGAAAAATGAAGGCAATTCCCAGCAGCTCGGTCTTTTGTTCCGAGTACGGGTCTTTTGTTACAAGGCCCAGCTCCTTTGTCCGATTTTGGACACCCCGGCTATGCATACAAATCCAACGTATCCCGGACCGGGAATCCCGGAGGCAAGCGGTTAATGTAGATATAGACCAAAGTCGCCAAAAAAATGCGGTAATGGAAGTGTTCAATTATTAAATTTAGTCCTGCAGTAAAATGCGCATCTTTAGCCCTGCGGTTATGTTTATTCAGGACGAGGGGTGCTGAAAACAAGCCATGGTTTCAGGAGGAGCATGCTCAGTTGTCTCTCCAAACCAGATACATTTTCCCCGTTTCCTCACCTCCGTGACCCCAAAGGGAATGTTGCCCACGTAGAGTCGCCGGGCCTGTCGAGTCATCTGATTGGCCACGATAGGCATGGCCGTAGCAGGCTGGGCAGGCATCATCACCGGAGCTGGGACGACCGGCATGGCCTGTAGATTGGGCACAGGAGGGACGGGTCCAGTTCCTGCAGCCTGGACTGCATCTGGACCTGGAACAAAGCAGTGGAGAAAAATAGTGCGTGAATTTGAATTTTTTCTTTCATTTTACAAGACCACAACATGTTTTTAAGGGAGTGCAAATTGAAAAAGTACAGTCCACATCGCATCTTTTTCCCCAAGAAACTTTCCAGCCATGTAGTTGAGTCTATTCAAAGTCCATCACTGGTTGCGTCAAGAATTACAGGGATGAACAGTTCATTTGAGAAACATGTCACAATACAGGCATTTCACATTTAGTGCACCTCCAAGAGTTTGCAATGCGTTAGCCAATCACAATGTGCGAAATCTGTTGACCCGATGCGCATTTGGAAAGGGTTGACAGATTTTGTGCGCTGTGATTGGCCAATGCATTGTAAACTCTTGGAGATGCATTATTGTGAATCGCCCGTTTTACAACGTTTTACAAATCGCCTGTTTTATTTTCAACAGGTGCCTTGCCCCATGTATGGTAACAGTGGCTGGGCTCTACCTTCCTTAACCCTCCTTTGGTTTAACTGCACAAATATGCACGAGTGCCCACAGTCGCTTTCTTAAACGTGTTTTCTATATGGAACACAAACATGCACAGGTTCAGTGTGTACACAGTTGGTTGCACATGAAACACCGAGGCACAGTTGTTGGACAGCACAAAAGTGCAATCTGATATTCCTGTGAGGGTCTGTTGGTGCAGTGCACAACACAACACAGCTGTGCTTCTTTTGAGCTGTTTACCAACTGACTCAAAGAGTGACTACAGCATAGGAGGGTTAATCCTACAAAACCTCTCAGATCTCTAGAATCTGAGAGACTAAGTGTCACCTTTTTATTTTGGGCTTGTTAACAACCAAGTTCGCAACCGATGTAATGCTGGGAGTACCTAAATGGCCTCTGGGAATACATATATTCACTGGGCCATTCTAAACTTTGGGGTCCAAGAGTTTGCGCCCCTGCCATATGATTTGTATATTTAGAACACATTCTTTACTTTCCGACAGAGATTATGTAATGCAAGAAATAAAAATAATTTATTATGTAACAAACAAATAAAAACAATATGAGTTCAATTTCAATGATATTTCCACTTCAAATTAACACTGGTCAGGTGTAACAGGGATGCAAAAATGTCACACTTATGGACTCTGAATTAATTGAATGACCCCACTATTTACAAGCAGTACACCATCTCCCATCATATTACGTAAAACCCTGCACACATTCATAGTCATAGGGACAGTGGAGAAGGAATCATCAATTTTCCAATGTCCAGTGTTTAAATAAGGATACCTCTCAAGGCATAATCGACAGCAAATGCTAGTGTACTCACATCCTTGCATTGCCTTGTACTGCTGTGGAGTGATATGCTCAAAGCCTACTGGCGGAACATCCCAGTACTTGTAAGGTTTGCGACGGCGCCTGTGCGCCACTGGTGAACGACTAGAGATAAGAAAAATAGGAAAAAGATTGAACAATATGAAAGAAAGAATCTAGACCGTCTAAAGTTGTCAAATGCATGACCAGGTTCACCTCTTCCGACGGACGCAACATCCTGATTTTCTAATTCTTACATATGCTTCAAACTTTGTCTGAAATCTTGAGGCTCAGGAATTACGTGACTTTAAATTGAATAAGACTAAATTGGGTAGCATTATTGCTCCGTTTGAAGAGGACAGGATTGAATAATCATTCTTGAGAAGAAGTATTTAGCACCAAACCAACAATTAAACAAGACTTCCATCACTCTGCATAAATGCAAAACCAAGAGTTCTCAAATGTAATTCTTAAGAGGATCAACGATTTTGAAAAGTTGTTTTCACAAGCATGAAAATCTAACGACCAGGGAACATCAACAAAGTCAAACATAAATGCTAAATTCAACTCAAAACCAACAGGCATTTTGCCTAAATGTCACACTCTTTTGTCAATGCCTGTCAACAGTAATTATCAAAAGGACACAAAAAGCCTCTTGGAAATGAAACACTAAGAACATGACCTCCACACTTGTGCTTTAAGTCTGCATGCCTCACCTGCGCCTGGACTTCCTGTCACGGTCTCTGCTTCGACTTCTGCTGCGTCGCCGTCGTTCTCGGCTACGGCTACGGCTACGACTACGCCTGCCATCCCTGCTTCGACTTCTCCTCCGCCGGTCAGAATCTTAAATAAAAAGAAAGAACAACTCTATATTTTTTTCCAATCTGTTCATGAAGAGTCCTTCAAGTTCTGGCCCGTGAATCTAGAAGATGTCCCCCCCACACATTCCCAGCTGTCACATCTTTCTGGGAAATGCAAAGGGAACTTGTGGTGAGTAATGCAAGTTTCCGTTGAAAAGTTGTGAATTTAAGTAGGAAAACATATCAATACCAATGTTTCAACATCGTGTAATGCAACTACCCTCCTTTTTCTTTCCTTTTTGGCTATGCTTTTTACAAGAAGAGTCCATTTATTTTAGAAGAAAGTTTGCAATATGACAGAGACAAAGGGTAAATATGATTGCAAATATAAGAAGAGAAAAAAAAGAAATGAAAAGTCATCAAAAGAAGACGAAAAGTGAGAACTTTTGTCGTGTGTTTTTCTTGTGTCTATTTATTTTATAATTATGGGGAAGATTATTTGGGGAGGACAATTTCAATGGGATGGTTCCATGTTTACTTAGAAGGGGCTCTTTTATACATATCATTACTAGTGCTGCAATTAGGTGCCAAGGTTTGGTTCAGTTTAGGTTCGTACATGGTTCGGAAATTTTTTGCTGAACTTTGGTTCAGTTCAGGTTTGGATGTGTACATGTACATGTACAAGGCACATCGAGACATCAAAGAGTACATGCTGTATACAGTACTTCCGTGTGTATGTTTAATACAAGCAATGAATCTCATCTCCATCCCATCCACGAGTAACTTCGATGTGACCATATTTTTTTCCCAAACTGTTTCCCCAAAGTTTGTTTAGGAGTTGAAATTCTCTAGAAAGTTACCGTCAGAGTGACAGTTTCCGACCGTGTTTTACAGACCAAAAGCGGTTGTTTGGACAACGCTTGACACAACAAAACGATCGTAGGATGTGTGAAAACAGAAAAAAAAAGCATGCTCAAATGGGAGTCTCCTCCTTTAAAGGATACAAGATAAAAATAGATTTCCAGCGATATCGTTATTTTTCACGAAACAGATTCAACTACATGTACCAAACTATGGCTTTTGATGTGTTCAAAGAACTTTCAGCATTCTTTCCCACAATGGTGCCCACATGGCCAAAGGGACGATCTTCCTTCAGTCTTTTTCTAATGGATAACGCCATTTTGTTATTTGAAATTTTCCAACAACTTAAAGATCTGGCAAAATTCCATTACAAGGTATTTACACTACGACTTCGATCAAACATGATCAAAGGAAAGGCAAATTAGGCTACCGCTCAATCCAACTCTTGTTGTGTGCTGGATTGCTGCATTGGTCTGCCTGGCAAAATCAGTTGCCTTTGATCAAGTCCGACTGTGATCAGCAGCCAATCAAAATTTGTTTTGCACGGCCATTTACGACATTTACGGCCTAATATGGAACGTAAGGACGTGGCTATCGGAGATTGGGAAACATAATGCTAAATCTGCATATACATGTACATTTACAATTGGATGTTGTGAGAATTTAGTATTGGTGTGCAGCGGGAATGCCATACATTGTATGTTCTCAGATGATTATTAGTGAATTCTCACCACGTGCTTTTTACAACCATCGTGTTCATGATGCGAGGCCACCATAAGTGCACTGTACATTGTGGGAAGGAAAAACGGAACAAACATTGCCCCTTTTTTCTTCCCACAATTCCTTTCTACCATTGTGCAAAATAACCCATGCAGTATTTGGGATAAGGCTCAGCCTGCAGCATGTACAGGGGATTCAAAGAAGACTACAGGGGACATTTTGATGAAAATTTAAAGGAATGATACAGTTTCTTTCATTATTCAATTATCAAATCCACTGGCATTGTCACGTGTCAATCCCCACCACCTACAATGAAAGGCATGACCTAGGCATAAAAAGGTGCCTTGTTTCTCACCACTGTCAGTTAGGCCTATGTTTCCAGACACAAGTACCTGCAAGGCTGTAGGGCCTATGGCTTGGTAGCCCCACTAGTGTGGCACGGACTATCATAGACATATGTAGTACACGGACTGAGCGATAAGATTCTACATGTACCAATGGGCTCTTCCAAAACTTTGGCAGCAGTTTAAGTATCTTGACATGGAACAGCCGCCGAGACGATGAGGGGTCATGTGACGTAATGCTGAATGACCTTATTTTAAATATGGCGACTGAGAGAGTGAGCCTGTTAGATTGAATGGATAAAGGCAGGCAAAAAGACTGGAAAATACCTGAAAAACGTGAGTGAAATCATTCAATAAATGGTTTTTAGAAAGTGGAAAGGTCAAGAATCATGTTCGTGTGCAAAAGAAATTGCGCCCACGATAATAAGTGGGTGCGCCGGAATGTTCAATACGCCGACACGAAATTGCGTATACGGATGTGTGGCTGAGGATGGATCGGGAGTGTGTGTCCATGCCACACTGTCACTAGTGGGGCTAATGGCTTGGGCGAAATGGACATGGAGCAAAGTGATATGGGGCGAAGTGGAAACGGGGCGAAGTAACCGACGTCCAATCAGCATGGAGGTAGGGAAAACAAGTAACGGGCATGACAGGTTAACATGGTTTTCCATGTAAACGGCAGGACATGCGTAAACCATTACTACACTGAATTGGACTTGGTCAGTGTTGGTGATAGCACGAGACAATGCCAAATGCGACTTCCAAATGATTCAATCCCCACAGTGTTTTCGATCAATTACAAACTTCACTTACTCTTTCTATCATCCTCTTCAGCACCAGGCATTTTGACGAAAATAAAATGTTATATTTGATAACAAATTAATGTTTCCTTTCTCAATCCGCCGGGAAAATAAATGAACAATGCCTGACATATAATGGCGGCCACGCGCAACAGCCTTCTTGGGTCTTTTGCACGAAGCACTGCACTGATGCACATCATGCTTCTAGAACGTAATAGCTATGACCACGGATACCAGCGATCTTTGTATTTTAAAGGAGGGCGCTAGAGTATGGTGTACTATTTACGACAAACATTTCTCTCTCTCTCTTGCCTCCTCCAGTCGACGCTACCAGACGACGCGACGGCACGACAGCTGCCTTGCGTCGTGCCGTCGGGTCGAACCGTCGCCTTCTTGCCATTACGTTTGTACACACACGACGCGTCGTGTCGTCGCGTCGTGCTGTCTCAGGTATTTTCCATGTTTCATTTTTTCCCGCCCTAAACGTCGCCCCTTCCGTCGCCCGTCGTGTCGTACCATCTTGCGTCGCGTCGTACGTCGTGTGGTGCATCGCGTCGCCCTTTGCTTCATGGTGTTTATTGAGGGCGCTTTTCTTTTATTTCTGTCCCCGTGCTTGCAAAGTACATGCAATTTACTCTTTAGTGTTGATTTGTTCTTGTTTTTATCTCATCCATTCCTCGATTAGGAATAATTTCTGTCATGTTTTATTAAGAAAAAGAAAAAAGAGCAATAAGAAAATCGGCATATGTAGGAACTGCTCTCTCACAATAAGTGGAAGCCCAGAATTCGTCACTCTTTAAATCCAGCCTATGATTTCTTTTTAATACCGTCGATGCAGTTCCCATTTGTGGTAGATTTGTAATTTTATAGATACCGGTTTTTCCCCGTGGTCCATCCCGGTAATTTTTAAGTAGTACTCCCAATTCCCCAGACAAATTGTCTACAACTGTATGACCGCAAGTTTGACTAAGGGTTTAGGAAGTTACCACCGAGCCTGCTCTATAATACCCTCAGAATATTCCGTCTTAGTCTTCCTTCAGGTCAGTCTTCCTCGTTAGCTTCATCAGCACCATACTTTTAATGATATTAGTCCATGTTTCTGAATAAAACATTATACAGACGCTGTTATCATTGTGGCCGTGTCTTTTTTTTAAACTCTGTCCACACACATGTATAATTTCTCATCTGATCCGCATCTTACATTAGGAAGCACGTTATAATGATTGATGTATTGTATCTTAGAATAGATTAAAAAATATTGTAGCGGACATAATATGAGAATCATGATACCTGCTTACATTATTTATTTGTTTACTAGTTTACCCCTTTTATTATCAGTTAACCAGTGAGAATTAATTCGTTTCCGGCTAATGTAGTGAAAAGTTTTCGCACGGTTTACGAAAATACAAATACCCTCACGTTAGAGAAAGCATCTTTTTAATAATGAGAAAAAAACAGGGATTCTATGAAACAGAAAACAATATGAATTAGCAATGAAAATAAATAAAGGGCCGAGCTTGAAGACGATCTATTGCTGAAGTTGGGGACGACTTGGTTTGTCTGGACTTGGCAAGTAGCTGTAGAGTTTGCAGTGGAAAGGCTTGCAGTAAAAAAATCGCGTCGCGTCGTGCGTTGCGTCGTGCTTCAGGGGACGTAATAGGCGACGCGATGCACGACACGACGTACGACGCGACACACGACGTTGCGACGCGACGGGCGACGGAAGGGGCGAAGTTTAGGCGACAAAAAATGCAACATGGAAAGGACCCAAGGCAGCACAATGCGACGGGCGACGGCACGACGCGACGCAAGACACGACGCGTCGTGTGTGCACAAACGTAATGGCAAGAAGGCGACGGTGCGACCCGACGGCACGACACAAGGAAGCCGTCGTGTCGTCGCGTCGTGTCGTCGCGTCGTGTAGTTGCGTCGCCTGGATGGAGGCTAAAGAGAGAGAGAAATGTTTGTCGTAAATAGTACACCATACTAGAGAGGATTTGTGTGGGTAACTCTCCTGAATTCTCCTGGAAACTAATTTGATGGGCTACTGGTAATAAACACATTTTAACGATATTGATGTTGATACTTGACCCTGCTGCGACGAGCCAGAATATTGGGGGGGGGTATACGGTATACTTTTGGGGTCTATTTCATATCCCTTCCAAAAGCGTGTAAATATCCCACAATTTTGCCTCGCCGAGGGACGAAAATCCCGCCCAGTGGATGGGGTATAGTACCCCCCTATAGATCCGCCTCGGGTATAATTTATACTTTTATGCTGAGCTGTAGAGTCAGGACAAAAAACTTCGAGGAACCTGCAACCCGGACACCATCGCCCTGTATTCTGCCAAAACACGCGAAATGGGCAGTCTTTGGTGAATATAATGATTGACAGCAACCATGATTGAATAATTATTTGCGGTAAACAGGGACGGATCCAGAAACAATTTTTCAGAAGGGGAAATTGTTTGTGGAGGTGGAATGGGCCTTTCTCTGGTTGAGCAGTGGCACATATCTGTGGTGAGGAGGAAGTAGGATGACTTTCCTGAATTAAAAAACAAAACAAAAATGCCCGGCTATGGAAATTCAAAGAGGACCACATGACACTAGGGGGAGCTCTTCATGATACAGATGTACTTCCTAACACCCCTTAACCTTCCATCAAAGTGATGCATTTGAAAGCTTTTGTATAATCTGCATCTGCAGTACTGTTGAATGCATTTTGGGGCTTGTTGGGAAGGAAGGAAAATACCTCAAAATCCACCGTTTTTCTCAACATGAAAAACGTTGGGGGATGAGCACTAGTAAAAAAAAGGGGGTTGTTGGGGGGGGGTTGCAACGTTCACCTGCACAATGATCGGAACTACCAGTGTAATGACGAAAAAATAAGTCGGCCTACCCCCCCCAAAAAAATCCTGAACGAGGATTGCGCCGTCCAGTATAGCTAAGCAATTACATCGATTTTCGGCGGATCCTTTTAGTGGGGCATCCCTTCAGTACACCCATCACCCCCCCCCCCGTTTACCGAAAGCTAGATCGTCCCTGTACATACTTTGTAGACTGCAGCTTTGAGGTAAACATTATTTTACAAGGGAAATTGTTTGTGGGGGTGGAATGGGCCTTTCTCTGCCTGACATGTAAACAAATTGGTACATGAGCAATGTGAAAATCTCGGAACTTCTAAGAAAAAAAAAAGAGAACCAAGAATGGATGATTTTAATGCATTAAGGAGTCGCCCGTAAGTACGTACGCACCAGGGGGGAGGGGGGCTGGTACCGTTGCATACACCATGCGTCCAGGGGGGTTCAACCTGTGCGTACCGTACGCAAACCGAAATTTGCCTGTAATGAATCTTCATCATAGCAATAGAGTTTCTCATACAAATAAATACCAGAATCAGCTTGTATGCGTCGAAACTCGAACACAGTCCATCCCGCCTTGTATCCTCCTGTGTCGACGCCCATTATTTGTAAACTGGGACATTAATCATGACCCAAAGACCGGCAGCGTATGCGTATGGGGGTCTGAAAGTGGGCATTTCGTGTGTACTTACTTTATGGATGGCCTATCAGTGCAATTATGCTTCGTGTTGCTTTCTTTCACGGATCGTCGTCACGGCAGATGTTCAGACCGTTAACTACATATGAAGCAAGATATGAGACGGAGAGAACCCCCTGCTTTATGTTGGGCATTGTTTCACTGGAATTTGAGGAATTTTTTCCCAGACAGGTAGGTACCAAAAGTCTAGAGTGTGTATAGTGATTGGACATGTTGGGGGGTACCCCTCTGTCTCATTTCTTGCCAGATATATGAACTTAACATTTTCTTTCGATTTCTTTCGGAGTGCAACGATTCGCCAGCAGTTGTGTAAAGTACGATAGACATGAAGCCATCTTCCGGGGGAGAGCTTGCGAGTGTAACTTCATCAAAATCGACCCAAACATAGTCTAAAATCCAGTGATCTGCTTTCTTGGGAGGCCGCCGGGGGGAGGGGTTTCTGTGTTCCACCAATCTAGAAAATGTATGTATATATGTAAGTAAAATGTTTGTATGAAATGTAAGATAACTCTGACGTTGTAGCATATCACGGCTCTAACAATCGGAGTCCTCTCAGGAAGACAAGCACGGAACTGTCAAACTATTTCTCTTTTCACTCAGTCCCGGCCCAGCAGAGATGCAGATGATTGACGTCACTCCATCGAGGTTCAATTTTTGGATTAGTTCTGAGTCTAAACAAGACAGACATTTTAGAAAGACAATTTATGATTGCGTAGGGGGCTTATGGGTAATATCTCTCCCCCAAGAGACAAAAAACCCCGAACTTGCATTTTAACAAGCAAGCAAGCAAGCAAGCAAGCAAGCAAGCAAGCAAGCAAGCAAGCAAGCAAGCAAGCAAGCAAGCAAGCAAGCAAGCAAGCAAGCAAGCAAACTATCACTCAGGTTATCTCCTGCAGATTTGACCCCAGGGGAGAGAAATCCCTAAGCCAATGAGAGAATGACTTTGGACAGGCAGGGAAGTGCAGGCTGTAACTATCTTATCTAATGAGGCTTCAAGCACACCTTTGATGACGCAGCAGAGGTAAAGGTGTTAGGCGTGACAATTGCATTTGTACGGGGGGTGTCATGCGACAAACTATCAACAGTGGAAGGGGTCAATTCCGAGATATTTCCGAGACAACTGAAGTTATCACCCGATTTTGTCATCCCCCTCCCTTTTGTCGCGCTTGTTGTTATATTTTCCCTCTTTTTGCCAGGGAGCAAGCTACATCGTTATATGTAACCATGGAGGAAGGAACAATCATGGGCAGTCTGAGCAACTCGATCTACGACAAACGCGATGCGAAACTGAATGCAGGTTTCACTTCCGTGGTCAGACCATTAGAATGCTGCAGCGCCCTCAAATCTTTTTCGCCACAAAACGGACTTTGTTCTGAAGGCGGCTTCAACAAAATCCTGTATAGCAATGGTTCCGCGAATCAGTTTCTCATTAGCACTTTGGAAGTGCGGATCTTGCGGGGCGGGGACCAGTGGAAAACTCAGTAACGCATCGATTACTGATGGTATTGGTCGTCAAGTCTGGTACCATGTATCCGCTGCAGGTGTTTCTCACTGGCTATCGTTGGTGTCGTCAGGCGCTAAGTATTACAGCTTTCACCAACTTGACGTGGCTGCTCGTCGGTGGGCTTGTGTGGGTCGGGTTAAAAAATGCCGGCAGAAACCCGCATCGTCAACGAAAGCTCAGCAAAAGCAGTGATTCAGGGGTCGTAAATTCCGTGGAGAAGTTGCAGGTACCCCAGGATAGTACTAAAAAACGGTGTAAAAAGAGAAAAAGCACCATGTCGAAGTCAAACGAATGGAAATCCTTGGCTGTCGAGGGCAGCAGCCGATCGTCAGGACCGACCAAGTTGTTCGCAAGTTTCACTGGTGCTAAAGGTGGTGTCGGTGCTCTACGAGTGAGGCAGAGAATTGTTGCAGCTGCGGTAGTCATGTTCATTCTTATTCTTGTGTTTTTACTGCTTCCCAGTTCCAAACGGACAAGCGGGAATTTTAGCACAAACAACAGTGGCATGGGTAAGAACTATGTCGTAATGACGTCTGCAGTCTACAATAAAACTTACCCAATTACAGCACCCCAGCGAACACTAGTTGGAGAGCAGTACCGAATTGGTCTAATATCTGATCTAGATACTGATTCAAAATCAGCAACCAAAAAGAATACCTGGGTTGGGTATTATCTGAAAGGCTATTTAAACATCAACTCGTTACATGACCAAGTTAGTATACAACTAGACAAAGAACCGTCAGTCCTGCAATCACAACTTTCTAGAGGGGGACGAGGGATGGAGCTTTCAGAGCTGGTCACATTTAATGGGAAGCTCTACTCGGTGGACGATCGCACGGGGGTCATCTATGAGATTGTTGACAACACTGTAATACCGTGGATCATCTTGTCGGATGGAGACGGCAGAAATACAAAGGGTAAGGAGTATTACACTGGATGTTAAATTGTAGGCTGCATATCTTACATTTTCATGGCACTGGCATCTGGCAAGAGCAGTATGCACACATCAGGCAGTTGAAAATTGTTTTTTTCCTCTTTTGAAAGAATCCTTCAAGGCCTTGAATAGTCAACAAACTTAAATTTGAAAAGGAAAGTTTGGCATTTGGGTGAATTGAAAAAATTGGTGGCCGAAAATTGCACCCATGCTCTTGTGAATCTTGAATAACCATGGGGGAGATCCGGAGGGGGGAGGGGTGGGAAAAGGATATATCCCCCTCCCACATTTAAGCACACCCCTACATACATGTACATAATTCAAGGGGGACCTTAAACAGGTACCCTGTATTGTGTCAAGCCTGCACAAGGGTGACGTTTCAGAAACCATCCCTCCCACATTTAAGCACACCCCTACATCCATGTACATAATTCAAGGGGGACCTTAAACAGGTACCCTGTATTGTGTCAAGCCTGCACAAGGGTGACGTTTCAGAAACCATCCCTCCCACATTTGACAAGAAATCTTCGCCCATGAGAACAACAATACTATTCACTATACCATGTGAGACTTTCACTTGTGTAAAATACTATAACATAATTTTCCTAGACAGCGTCAGGATTTGATTCACAGCCATGAAAAAGCCTTGGGAAAACTCGGGCTTTGGTGATGGATATAAGCTGAGTGCGTCCGATACGTTCAGGCACTCACACACATTTCGACCCTCCTGTTCTTGATTCTGAACCAGCCGACACAGTTCGGAGACCACATGAGTTTGGAAAAGAGTTGCAAAATGGGCATTATCATTGAACCACATGCACTGAAGAATAGTTTTGTTTTAGATTTCTCACATTATCAGATTTTTACAGTCTGTGGAAAATTTTTGAATATCTTGCAATTCCTACAAGTAAAGGAGGAAATGTTTTGCAAATTTTTTTTCCAATTCATACTTTCATTATGTTTTGGCAAGCATTCAGGTACATTTGTATGAGAAAGCACAGTGCTAGAATAATGTATTCATTCCTTTTTTGAATTGAAATGCACATGTAATTGAAATCCCAGTGATTTAGGCCTTTTAGCGTGAATGGTACAGTGAAATAACGTGTTACGATCAGTTGCATTAGTTCGATGAATCTGCAACCCCCCCCCAAAAAAAATCATTCTCATACATGTACAACTTGTGAGTATTTTTATTAATTTTTGTTCTTAAATATCCAGCATAGTAGACTGCTGAAAAAAGTTGGGCTGTGCATTAATGCACACAACTCTAGGCAAGTGTGAAAGGTTACATCTTTAGTGCATACATCTCATTGACTTCAGAAATTTAACTTCAGGAAATCCTGACTAGACTACAGCGATACCAGATTCTCCTAGGTGGCTGTCTTCCTCTTGTTGCTTGAAAGTGTGTGAAGACATCCTTTGTTAATTGGGACAGTTGTTTCAAATGACACTCATAGGATTGGTCATAGTTATGCCAGAGGATCCCATAATTTCAAATACTGTTGAAATTCAAGAACCTTTCAGATGTGGCAGCTTGGACCAGTACTGCATGTATGTAAAACTCAAAAGCTCTTTGTGGAATTGGAGAAATTTTGCAGAGTGTATCAACTCGAGTTGCCAAAGGAGACTGCTTTGAATAGGCTGTCACTTTGTATTTCAATTGGAGGGGGGGGTGATTTTGTAATCCTAAACTCAGGTATCTTTGTAGCAAGCTTTGTGGATCATACCAAATCCCTCTACTGTGCAGGAAAACAGTAGCACATTCTTGTCCTTAACTTTCAAGCGAAATCAAGACCCACCCAAAATTGATGGCGGCTGAGCTGTATCCTGGCCATTTCATCTTCCTGAATAACTCCGGGGGTGCTTTCCTGAATCGGCAGAATGCCCCGTCCAGCAGTGTGTTGAGACCTAGAGGCACAAGTGTTTGCACTTAGCCATTCAGTCCGGAATCTAGAGTTGTAACGAAGTCGGTTTTCAATTAGTCATGAAGTCAAATTACAAGCCATTTTCCCTACTTTATGTTCCAAGTTTTCAAGATCAAGTCAAGTGAGAAGTGATTTTCTTTCCCAAAGTGAAGTCTGAAGTCAAAAAATTGTGACTCAAGTTTGAAATTAGTGGGAGTGAGCAACTAAAGTCAAAACACTGCCAGAACTTTTTAAATTTTGCTAAATTGATTGGATTTAAGCAGATTCAGGGTAATATCTCTTTTCAGAGTCACATTACATGTACATTGAAATGTTTGAATATTGTCAACAAATACTTACACATTGACATACATGTACATATTTTTGACGTATATTTACGATGTGTTTCCCTTTCTCACTCCTTGATTCGTATCTATAAAAAGCCACCTGGTTCATTGGATTTTATAAGATTAAGGAAGGCATGGCCTCACAGGAGGATTAGAACTGCTTGAAAGTCAAGACAAGAATCTAATGCCAGCAAAGAAATGTGTAGGAAGTTGAAATTGAACAAAGAGATGAATATTAACCTGAAATTTAAGTAAGGCCTTCATATTAAAACAAGGCAACAAGTCAGCAACATCTGCGCGGACTGTCCTGTCTGTTGGTTGAAATATTAAGCAACCAATTGTCACAGAATTACCGATACAGATCAATATCAGTGCGTGCACGTATTGCAAAATGCACATGCAGACTTTTGAAATTGGAACAGCTGTACAATTGGTAGCAGCAGTGTGCTGCACGACCATACTGGATTGCACTGAAGACCTTTGACCTTTTACCTCAGATTGTACATGTACCCTGAGGCTTCACAATAACAATAACCCTACTAGATCCTTGAACGTCATAAGATTTGGGATGGCTGTTGGAAGAGTGGAGTGGGCCATAGCCTGGCCACGATATAGTTAAACTCATGAATTGATATCCTTTAATACTTTAAGTACCAAGATTTTGCCTTTGGGTTCCTTCATGATGGAGGGTTTTGTAGGATTTTGTAAGATCAGTCAGGAATGTTCAGAGTTACGTGCTGAAGGAGTCAGGCATATGCATAGGTTCTTACCTTCTTTAGGTATCTTCTAGGACTTTACAGGTACATGTTCTTGTATCAGAATTCTGCACCATACTGAAAACCATAGGCACATTCTTTGTACCTCATCTAAGGGTGTACTCATACTAACAGATTCCAACAGGCCCTGGTGTTGGAGTGTGGCTCATGAGGGTAAACAGAGGAACCATTGGAGAGTCAACAGTACATTTTACCTTGACGTTGAGAGTATTAGAGAGCTTACATATACTTCAGGCCCTATTGGCACAGTGGTCTATGGCGCAGGTTGATATCAATGCAGTTTTCTATTCCACCTCATATATAGCAGTAGCCTACCTTTGCTGAAACCCTGGTGCCTGCAACTGTTGCAAGATTTTTCTGCATGTACAAAGATTTTATGCGGTTGTACTAAAGAACAGGAAAAAAAAAAGAAATTTGGCAAAGAGTTCGCATAAATGCGCTGCCTCTACGGCATGGTTCTGTTGGTTGGTTGTTTCTGTCCAGGAGCAATTTTAGGTGGTAAATATTAATAGCGTTTTCTTTGAGAATGATTTTGCAATCCTGTGAGAATTTATTGACTTGTCGAGTGTACGCTACAAATGAACAATGACTGAGTTATAAAACCAAAAATTCTTGTTTACGATTTGCCATTTGTCAGGTTTTAAAGGTGAATGGATGGCTGTACGAGATGAGATGCTGTTTGTAGGTGGACTGGGCAAGGAGTGGACCACGACGTCGGGGGAGTTGGTCAACTTAAATCCCCAATGGGTCAAAGTTGTCAGTCATCAGGGGGCTGTCCGGCATTTCAGCTGGGTAAAGAACTACAATGCTATGAGAAGAGAGGCTGGCTATTCCTATCCAGGTAACTTGGCTTTTCTGTTATTGAAAACTCTTGAGGGTAAGGTCGAGTGTCGGCCATCTATCAATCAGTGGCTGATTGTGCCTGGTACTCATCATTACCAAGGAAAATTAATCAGTGGTCCAAACAATTGTCATTGCTTGAACTTGACCTAATTTTTCATAATCCATCAAAATCAACCAAGAGTTTGAAGGATTTAAGAAGACAGAGCCCAGCCACTGTTTCCTGTGACAGAGTTGGTGTATCTTGAAAGTTGGAGTATTAAGACTGTGCCATTGGGCTCCTTTGCAGTGTTAGAATTTGTAGGATACATGTAGAGGAGTATCCCCAGCAGAAATGCTGAAGGGGCTATGGTTATAAGAAGTTGACAGCATGGATACAAGTTGAAATATTAAACCAAGCCTTTCTGCATATGACCTACCCACCAACATGCCAAACTTATTCATGACTAACTCCTGTGTGAAACACATTCCAACTTGGAATTCATCAGAAGAAAGACACCGTTGGTGTATCCTCCATCTTGCGATAAGCTCTTTGCACGTTTTAGGCAAGAGACACCCACAAACACCACATTGTCCAGTATTGACAAAGATGGAACAAAGGCACCAGACCATTGCAGAACTGTAGGTTGCTGTTAAAAAGCTCACCACAACTCAAGTTATAGATAGCAACACACTTGTTGCTTTGGAAAAGTATATTTTAGTTAGCATTCAGCACACATATTCAAATTGTTTTGGCAGTGGCTTAGTGATTTTTGTGTGGATGGATCAGATTTTCTTTATACATTTATGGTCATGCCAGCATAAGTTGTGTTTGGTGGGAAGATGTTAAATGACAATAAGAGGGTACCAGTGGAATAACTTAAAAATCTTGTTTCTCTTGTGTTTTTGTCTTGTCAGGTTACATGATACACGAGTCTGGGGTATGGAGTGACGTCCACCAGCGTTGGTTTTTCTTGCCTCGTAGGGCAAGCAAGGAACATTACACTGAGGCGGATGATGAGCACCGAGCGACCAACCTTCTCATCTCCTGCACCGCCGACTTCACCGACATCCGCATCAACAAGATCGGGGTACTCAACAAGATCCGCGGTTTCTCCTCTTTTAAGTTTGTGCCGGGCACCAGGGACACTGTGGTAGTGGCACTGAAGACGGAGGAGGACCAGGGAAAGATCGCCACCTTTTACACAGTGTTTAACATAGATGGCAAAACGCTGGTGCCCGACACCAAATTTGCGGACATTAAGTACGAGGGGATTGAGTTCATTTAAATCTTTTTGCAATCCTGCCTTGGTCCATAGTTGCTCAAAGGGATGATCGAAACAAAGCATTTCAAAGTTTGAACTGTACACCTTTTAGTAGGGTATTATTGTCTTCATAATTTTGTGTCCAGAGGTGGGTTTTTGCTTCTGATGTTTCAGATGTCGGAGCAACGACCAAAAATATCCTTAAGATGGCCAACAAAGGTGCAGAGCATGAAGTGGCTATGTCATCCGAGAGCGATATAGTAAAAATGACAATGCTGTTGATACATGTCATTTTCGCTCAATATTTGGGAGGACTGCCTTTGCATTTCACATTCCAGAAGGTTTCTATTTGGGTTTGCTGCATGCAGTTTGGGGGATGCATGCAAGTAAAGGTCGGTTCATACTTCAGGCGAATGTGAAAGCGAGGCCAAGTTGATGTCACAAACATTTTGCAATAAAAGTTCACTCAAAGTGAAATGTGCTCAACTTCTGCAAATAGGTGATCTAACATCAT